TTGTATCCTAAATATTTAGGAGTGACTTTATCCCTTAGTGCTTGGCCTTTCACAGGTAGAAATATTATTCCAGAATACTACTACAGCACTTGTTCATTTCTGAGAATGAGTTATATAAGGGCGTTTAAGCAATCATATCCTTGACGAGAAGTACAAAACATCCCTGGCTTACTCTACCATTTCTTATTCATGCAGCAAACTCTCAACTTCAGCTCCTCCATCACTTTCTCTCCTCACTGAAGCTGATCTCCACCAGGGACTACTGCCAGAAGGCACCAGCCAGCAACACACTAACAAAGACACACTCTCCTTTGAAGCCCTTTGAAGTTTCCACCAGATTAAGGAACTGTGGACTGGAGTGGTATTTCAGTTCACGTCCACAAACGCAACTGTAATTCATACATGTCATCAGCAAGATGTGGAGGATAAGCAGAAAAAAGAGCAAGACCTGCACAGACAATTTTAAAATACACTCCTTTCACTTCTATGAACATAAACTTACAAGTGGGTTTGCTTTTTTTCATGGATATCTTTCTGTATGTAATGTTTTCCCATGCCATCTTTTCCCCTTTTATGCTGTTCCAACATACACTAACAGTTCCAGCTTCACACAACCACTCCATGTCAAGACTGTAACTTTACACTACCACAGTCTTGCTTCTTATACAATACACACAATCACGGACGATAAATCATCTCAGCTGGGGCCAAAGAGAATTTTTGTACAGATGTTTCTATAAATGGGTGCAACTCCTAGATCAGAATTAATCTGGCTTGCAACTTTTAATTATATTAATTACCATGCCTTTGAAAAGACAGCATCAGAACACCGATGTAACATATTACCTAAGTCGTGATGAGAGCATAACAAAAGCTTCTCTGTTGAGCAAAAGACAACCAATACATCCATCCACGGGGCAAGTTTCACACAGAAATGCAGTGGACTATTTCAAGGAAATTCTCTGACTGTTCAAACTGAGGACTTCTTCAGCCTCTCCAGAGCACTGTCATGACAGGCTGATGTGCCACCTCCCTGAATGGGGGACAGCTGGAATGAAGCACAACAAGACAGGTGGATGGGGACACATGTACAATGTGTTCAGGTGACACTCAGTTAACAGAGGAGGCACAGGGAGGCTATTGCAGTAACCTCAGTTACAGAGAAGCCATGAGACATCCCTAAATTGTGCTTTCAAAACCTGCTGTCCCCAACAGCTTTTGGAAGATTATGGGAGCACAGCACTGGGTTAAGCTCATGTTTGTGATCTCGTCTCATTTTGTGCCTACAGCCTAATCAAATGAGTATCCAGGCCAAAAGGTTTTAAATTAATCCCTCCAAATAAAAAAAAAAAAATCCACTAGATCCACTGAAGCATTTTATCTGAGCCTGTAAAACACAGGGAAGTACTGAGTACGGGGGGTGCTCTCTATCTCTTCAGGTAAAGGGTAAAAAAATATATTATGAATCTATCTGCCACATCAACATATCAAATGTGCTTTTATGAGTTTAGCATCAACACCAAGAACTTGTGCTTATCTCTCATGCTGTCAACTTATTAATTTAGCAAGTGCTAAACATTTTTTTAGAAGACTGCGGTGTATTTTGTCCACAGTTTTAGAAACTTCGGGAGAAAAGATGTAAAGCATCTACTTTACTGTGTAAAAATTTCAAAATGTAACAAACTGGTAAATTATTTCCTGCAGCTATTAGGGAACTATTTAAGAACACAAACCGGAGACAAGGATTAAGAAAAGGGACACATCTGTTCTGCAAAATAAAGCCTTTGAGAAGAACTACTAAAAGTAAGAGAAACTAGGAAAAAACATTAAACTTGTATGGAAAAACAGCAGAAGGCATATTGCCAACAGATGGTGAAGAACTCATACACTAAAAAGGAAAACAAACTTGAAAGCATACTCAATTTTGACAACTTGAGAAAAAATAAAACCAAAGCTAACTCTTTCCTAATCGCAGATTCACTGGTTAAAAATGGAGCTGCATGTTCTTAGAGCTTAGAAAAACAGTTGTAATTTCTGGGTTCTAAAATGGAGGCATTCAAAATTAGCAACCGTCTACGAAAATGCTGGTCCACTCTTGAAATCACTTCCTTTCCCCCCCACCACAAAAACACACTCTTTTTTTGGTGTGTTTTAATTATTTCCCATGTTAGCTGTTAAGCTCAATGCACTGGAAAATATCTGATGCTTTAATGGGCCACTTTATCATTAACTCAGACACCTGTTTAAAAAGATGCTTCCTCTCTGAGGCATTTCTGCTGTAGCTTATAACACATACTGCCACAGAAACCAAGAGACAGGTATTTGCAGAGCCTCTAAATAGAAGTTATTCCCTGTTATCCTGTGTATCCATACTGTCAGTCCAATCTTCTATCTCACTTTTGGAAGCAGGAATTTTACACAGCCAGTTCAACAGCACTCACTGATTAAAGAAATTTGACATGCAGTTCTGAAATTATTACTGGGGGTGCATTTTGCAGCTGGAAATCAGCAGCTAAATAAAAATCATGGCAGGAGGTGAAAAACTATTTTATATGTCAAAATAATACAGAAGTTAGTTACAAGAGACACAGAAGCCATCTTCTACAACTGTGTTTCTTCACCCAACAAGCCTCCTTTAGTCTGTAAACCCTGCAAGAGCTATTCAGGAAGTTGACACATCCTTGCTGCAAACCCAAGAGAAGCAAACATACCAGTTTTTAGTCCCTTCTAAACGATGTCCATTTTACAGCTGACTTTTCAGCAACTAGCTTTAAAACTGTTCACCTTCCAGTTTCTTGAGGCTTGCCACAAGCAAGTTTTCAAATTTGTTGTGTACTCTTCCTTCCTTTCATTCCTAATGTCTATGTATTATACACTAATTCTGGATAAGACACTGTAAAAGAATCAATTATCCAAAACAAGGACAAAACTCCTAAATTCCCATCTCTAACACTGAATCTAAGCTTGATTGTAAAGTAAAAAATGAGTGACCTATGGCTTGAAAGTAAAAATGAGTAAAAATGAGTGACCTATGGCTAGCACCACAGCAATCACGGAGCATCAGGAATTTTTCGTATTTGGAGTTTTTGCACATCTGGTAAACAGTAAACAATTTAAAAACATAAATCCCCTCAAACTCGAAGTGCATGAAACACTGCATAATACTGTAGGTATTCTTTTTTTCTTCTTTTTTTAAAAATCACTAACCATGGTGGTTCAAAATCTGTGGAAAGGGTACCTTTGGCTTTGACTGTGAGACACGAAAACTGCTAGGATCAGTGGAGGAGCTTTCAAGACAGCCAGCAATGTCTGAGACAGCAAGTGCCTGTGGGCTCATCACCTGATGCTACACAGCTCTATTCAAGTGAGGGAAGTTTTGCTATGAATACTTACTCGAGAGTAGACACCTGCAGGTTCATTTATTTTACTCTTTATCGTGTTCTCAGCCAACCATCCACACTTATGAACGAGTTCTTCATCAAGAAAAAATTTTAAAAACCTCTGATGACAGGAAGATTCATTACCTACACTGACATCCACACAAGAAGGCCTGCATAAGGCACAGGCTTGATTTGTGACTCTTACAAGAGCTAACATATTGTTTTCAAAGGGAGAAAAAACCCAAAAAACTCCATAAGTCTTCCTAGAATCACAGATATAAATGCAATAAACTGCACAAACTTTTATGCTGATTTGACAAAAATTCAATGCATTCCGAAACCTCATGGACAATTCAGGCGTAACTGAGAACCACATGAGCTTTAAAAAAAACTTATATCTGCCAGCAAGCACTTTTTATTCACTGGACTTCAGCAGAAGCAGTTCAGAAGAGAGAAGAAAAAATTCCTCACATCACAGAATTTATTCTAATATTCAGCACAAAACAAATAGGGACACACTGCCGAGACAACACCAGTGCAGCTTCAGGGCACCGGCAAGGGCTGCTACATGTCGGGCTTCTCTTCAGCACTTACGGGGCTCCTATCAGGGTGTAATTCTTGAACTTGCTGAAGTATCACGTCTGTCCGGCTAAATACTTCCTGCAATTTTGTTAATTATACATCAGGGTCTGCAACTACGGAGTGACTCCCATCCTAGAAAACGTACAGCTCCCGAGTCACCCCCCCCAGAATTTGTGTCTTGACTGTCGTTTCTATGGATTTCTCTGGAATGTGTGCTATTATCCCACACAGGAAAATACTTTTCAAAACTCGAACAGAATGTGCAGTTATATCACGGAATGGTTTTCATTTTTCAGTGCTGTAGACGGCTCGTTCGGGTCAATACACATTTCTGTAGGTGGAGATCAAAGGGAGCAGACAAGTGCAATCCCAAGTTCAGGTTCCCTCTCCGTGTCCATCCCTTCCAGGCGCTTTCACACCAACGCCATCCCCCCTCCACATCAGCGTTACCCTCCGCTGTCAGCAAAGCCATCAAAGCAAATACCCGGCCTTTCTCTTCTTTCTCCCTGATTCGTCACCAAGATGTAAATTAACAGATTCTCTCTGAGACAAGAAAAAAACCCCGAACAATGGGAAACACTTCCCCTCCCGTGCGACACAGGACGGAGGGAAACAAGATCCCCGGCGCTGGGGGAGCGAGTTACTGGGGATCAGATGCAGCTAAAAATACGGGTGCGGAGCGAGCGGGCCCGGACAAAGCCCGGGCAGGGCCCGCGGTCCCGTCCCGGGGCGTCCCCCGCGCCAGACGGTGATGTCACCGCCGGCGGCAACAAAGGACGCGGCCCCGGCCGGGCGGCCCCTGCCCTGCGCCTCCCGCCCGCCCGGAGCGGCCGGAGCGGCCGAGACAAAGCGCCTTCCCCCGCGCTACGTGCGGGCGGAAAGGGAGAGGTTCGGGCCGCCCAGCGCTGGAGGAAAGGCGGCGGGGAGACGACGGGGAGACGACGGCCCCGCTGCGCCGCGGTCCGGCCCCCGCCGGGGGAGAGCGGCCCCCGCGCCCCCCGCCGTGCCCCGGCACCCCCGCCCCGCTCCCTGCCCTACCTGATATGGCGGCGGCGGCTCCTGATCCGGCTCAGCCCCGTCCCCGTAGCTGGCTCGGTCCGACTGGGACTCGTGGAGCAGCGAGATGTCATCCGAGGTGGGGGACTTGAGGCAGTTCCCCATCTTCCCCCGGGGAGCGCGGCCCCCGCTCCGCCTCCCCCCGCGCCGGCGGCGGATCCGCGCCCTCAGCCTCCCCGCCGCAGCGCACAGCCCGCAGCCGCCCCGCCGGGGAGGCTCATGCCAGCCCCGGCCCTAAGCGGCTTAGCAGCACCGCTCGGCCGCCTCCCGCTCCGCTCCGCAGCCGCCCCGACCCCCGAGCCGGGGGGGCGGCAGGACGGGCCTCCCACCCCCCGTGGGGCAGCGGGCTCCAGAGGGTCTGCCCGCCCCGCGACAGCTCGGCGCGGTTCTGCTTCCCGGTCACCAGCTCCCTGCGCACTGGGCTCTGTCGCACGGGCCGCCCTGGCTCCTCCTCTCACCCCTCCCCGCCGGGCCCCGGGAGCAGCCGCGGGGCCCCCGCTCCGCTCCGCGCCCCCCGCCCGGCCCCGCGGCGGGGACAGCCCTGCCCGCCCCCGGCGGGACGAGGCGGGACGGGAGTGAGGGAACCCGGCCGCCCGCTGGGCTCCCCCGGCCCCAAAATGGTGGGAGCCGCTTCGCCCCGCCCCCGAGCGCGGTGTTTGTTTGTGTTCCGGCCATGGCGGAGCCAGCGGCCGCTCGGGCCCGGCGGGACGGGACAGGACGGGAAAACACGGGACGAGGCGGGGCGGCTCCTCCGTGGCGGCCGCGGGGACCCCCGCACCACCCGGCCCGCCCCGGCTGGGGGTGGGTTGTGCGAGGCCGAGGGACCTTCCCAAGGGTTCCCCCGCGAGTGGGTTCCCGGGCAGGGAATCCCTGTGCTGATCGCTGGCGTGACCCCAGTGGGCACAGGCCAGTGTAGGGACGGGGCACTGAGCCCCAGTGTGGAGCAAAACCAGCGGCTGTCACTTGTCTCGCTTTTGCGTTTCTAGAGGCTTTTCACGTGATTAGCAGATACTAATATAAACTATGTATTTAGCTCCTTTTCTTTCTGAAAAAACGTATTCACACTTGCACATAAATATAGGTAAGTACAGATAAATGCACGTTTCAGGAAAGCGAATGCCCCTACGTGACTGTTGGTTTGCCAGCCCTGACCCACACAGAGGGGAATGGTCCGTACAGGATGATCCTATAGATGTTCTTTCCAGCTTTATTGTCTGTGATGGTTCTTCAAAATCCCTCTTTGGCTTTCAGATCCATGCCATGGAAAATATTTTAAAATCCATTTTTTAAACTGAAGTATTTTTTAAAGTGAAGCAAATTTGGTGCAGACCAGCTGGAAAGTTCTGTCTGTAAAGCCGTGCAGTGTGGCTGCTTCTTATCAACAAGTTCTCTGCTGATACAGGTTGGCCCCGCTTTGCACCAGACCTCCTATCTGGGTCAGAGTATCTACTCACAGTGACAAGTTTGGCTCCACAATCTTTGCTGGTGGACGTCAGTCTGGGAACAGACTTTTTGCTGATTATCCATATAAGTTCTTTCTTGGAGATTTCATTTTCTTGCTGTTTAGGGAGTTTTGTTTTGCTGCTTATCAACAGATTAGCTAAACAACCACAGTGCAAAATCTGTCATTGCTGCCATTTATGGTGTTCAAACACAGTTTCAGGCTTTTCTAGGAAACTGAAACTGAAAATGGTGCAGGAATTGTGAGTGTTGCTCAAGATAAAGAAGCTTTGCAATGGCGCGTTGCTGCTGTAAATAATGACTGTTTTACTTGACTTGCTCATTTGTGTGTTTATCCTATGACTCTGCTGGCTTGGTTTAACAAAATTGGGCAAGCAGTTGTTGGAGAGGATTCAGCCTCACCCAGTCTTGGTTTCAAGGTTAAGGCAATGTCAGAACTGTTTGCTGTGAGAACCTGGTGGTGAAAATCCAGCGCTATTTTCAGTTGTATTTTCAGTTGGTATTTTCAGTTGTGCAGTGGCAACATTGGGAATGAGATTATGGGCAACTAGAAAGACTTCTTTATTTCAGATGACATTTCATATTTTGTTCTCTCTGTGAGGCTTTGGCCTGTGTCATTGGTGTAGCTCAGTGTAGACCACAGGCATGTGCCACACTGTGGCTTGGAGTCCTGATCTGAGGAGGTCCTGTGGGAGCATATGGTGCCTCCCTGCTGGCTGACATGCCGAGATTTCCTTTCTTTGGAAACCAGAGTGCAAACATGGGTCCTTGGTCTCATCATAATACACAGTCAGCACATAGATGGGATATGCTCTGGGTCCCGTGGTATAGACGTTGCATTTATTTACCTTGAGGCAGATCTCCAAAAGGAATAACTGCTAAACCCAGTTAAAACTTTCTCATTGGTAGGTACAGGGTGTTCACTTGAAATCTGGGCACATTTAAAAAATGAAGACTTGTTAAGTGCCAGAAGAGATCTCCTTTTCATGGCAGACTCACAGAGACCAAAGAGGAAGCAGCAGTTCACATTTGTCTTTGCAATACAACAGACTGCACCTGTGAGAGCTCTGACTACCAGTCATGCCTGGATTCTTGGAAGTAGGGATGGTTGAAGCCACTGGTTTTCTAGGCTGTTCACTCCTGTTATGTCAGGTAGGTTGTTAATAATGGCTTTGCATCACCAGTTCAAAAATTGTACAGCGGTCCAGAAAATGGAAAATGGAAACATTCTTGTGTTCACAAATGTTATTTTTAAATATCCCTGCGTATGCTATGGTGTGGCTGTCAGCCTTCTCCTTTTGATACCTTCTTTTGCAGGCTGGGGACAAGAAAGCAGCTGAAGAGCTTGTCAAGGTAGAGGTCAGTTGTCCTTATTGCTCAATAAGCAGTTGATGGGAGGCTTTTGTCCAGAGAACACATGAGATGTTTTCACCATTCCTTAGTTGAAGGAGATTGAACAGACCTGGCAGACTTCACTGTACCTGCTCTTTGTAGATAATACTGGTAAGCACAGAGGCTGTTCAGAGGGATCTGCTTTGTGGAAACAGATACAGATCCTTGCATGTGCAGAATAGTAGAGGTGACTGGACCAAACAGAGTATAGGCCAAACCAAAATAGATCCTGGTTTATGAGCTGTCCATGCTGCAGGAGGTCCTTGTTCCATACAGATTTGGAAGCTCACAAGTAGTCTGTATGGTCTCCTTTTTTTTTATTAGAGGATGTGATTTATGAGCACAGTTTCTTTGTTCTAGCGGAACCATGGGACAGTTTAACTGATTACTTCAGTTCTCTCTGGTTTTTACTTCCTCTCCTTAGTTTGGGGAACAAGTAGTTATCAGACTTGGTTTTCTAGAGCCTTAATATGACTCTACAGAGGAGGAAAGATTCATGTGGTGGGGAAGGGCTGCATAGATACTACACGTAGAAAAGATGAAGGCAAATACAAAAATTTGTGTCAAACTAATATCAACCTGGCAACCTAAGTCAATGAAACTTTTTCTCTTACAACAGTTGGCTGTAATCTGTTGTCAGAATAGAAATGAGGATAGTCTGAAATTTGCCAGTGTACAGAGTTCATGTTCTGGTACATCTCGATATGACAATGTCATGCATAGGTCAGTTGTAACCACTTTTTGGCAGCCAACGTCTTCTAAGTGAAATCTATTTTTCAAAACAAAATGGAAATTCAAGAAAAATGTTTTTAAAGCATGTAGGCAAAGTTTGTTTTATTTTGTAAGTTTTTGATATGAGGAGAGACAAGTTACATAATGCTGTATTCCTAAGGCTTGTATGAGCTAGCCAGAGATGAGGAACTGTCTTACTAAGAAATCCCTTTCGAGTTAAAAATCTAAAATCCACTGAGAACGTAAAACCCCAATAGTTTCTCTGCAAAATTGACATCATAAATTGCCTAATTTATAGATAAAAGGCCCTTTAATGACATCATTTTACATGATCCATGGTCATGTTATTGTTGGACAACATTTTGGATATATTTAATGTGTCATGCTCAGTAAAAGTTTTTGAAAGACCTTTTCTGTCCTCAGCATGGAAAAGTTTTTTCACTTCTTTTCCATCAAGCTTATTTTCCTGGCACTTATCGTCTCTTATTATGTCTTATCTTTCTTCTGGATAAGATTGTTTTCCCAATTCATATACAGAAGCCCAGTTAACTTCTGAGTGATTTCTCCATGCCATGGTACCCAGAGGTTCAGAGATAGCTCTGTTTGCTCGGGTAATGTTGGTGGGACACAGTACTATTTTAAAACCTTTTTCTGGAAAAAAAAAAAAAGACCTTGTATACCTCTGAAGAATGGAATTAAATTACATTCTTCTATTATATATGTGAATCAGATTATGGGAATGATGGAATTAATTTATCTTATTATAAAGAACATAACATCTTCTAAAATACACGATTGTTTCTAGTTTTGTTCATTTTAGCTGAACCATAGAACCATTTCTCAGTATATATTACAACTGTATATCGTTTTCTGCAGGAGAATGAATGCAGCTCTAGAAAGCAATTATGGAACTAATATATTTCCCTGAAATGCATGTTGTGATGCAGGATTTTGCTCATGTTTCTGAAAATTACTTAAACTTCTGCTTAAATTATCCTGGTATCACAAGTACCACTTAAATTAATTTATCCTGAAGATACTATCTTGGTAAGGATAAGTTTTCCATTACTGGCAAAAATAACTTGCCTTCCATAATAACTCTTTTCCCCAGATCCAGCATGTTTTTTTTCAGCAAGGAGTATAATGCCTAGCTATTCTGTGCAATGGGGCACCTACACTGTATGTCACAAAGAAGAAAAAGGACATGTATTTTGGCACTAAAAAAACCCAAACAACAAAGCAAACAGTCATCATAAAAAAGTAACCTCTTCAAACAAACCCTCTGTCACCCAGCTTCCTGGTGAATTTTGTGTAGGAGTTCATTTTCCTTTTTCTCTGTGTACCGTGTGTTACCACAGTCTCAACTTCAAGAATGATCAGAGACCTATAAAACATGATCTAAGAGGAAAGGCTGAAAGAATTGGGGTTGTTTAGTTTAAAGAAAATGAAAGTGTTGGGAAAAACAGTAATGATCTTCCAAAATGTAAAATGTTTCTCTGCAGAGAGAAGGAAAAAGTATTTGTTTATGTTCAGTGAGTCTAGGGCAAGAGGTGATGGAATTGGAGTAGGAGATTTAAGGTAGACATTAGGAAATTATTTCAAACTGCAAAAGTAGTTTGGCACTGAAAATGATTATCTGGGAATCTCGTTTACTGAAGGCTTTGAAAGGCCGATTAGGTCACGTGTGTCAGGAATGGTTTTAGTTGCAGTAGATTATATGGAGATAACCCCAAAAGGTTCCTGGCTAGTTTATAGTGTTTTGTTTCTCTCAGGTGATTTACAACAGATGCTTTAATGCTGTGTTGTTTTGATTCTCACTCTTTCTGCCCTTAGAAAATGCCAGTAAGAAAAAATTAGGTAAAAAATCAGGAAAATGGAATGGATAGTGACATTTCCAATAGCAGAATACTAAGAAATCACAGGCTCTGGAGGATAACTGTTGTGTTTGAGCCGGTGTGTGACTTGCTGACATGTCCTCCTGACAAGCTTTGGGACTCGAATACTGGGCTGGCATTCAACAAGTAGTGGATAGTCAATACACAGAAATCTGTGGTTTAACTAATCTTTTAAATTTTAATTTATTTTTAGATTTTATTTGAAGTGTTGGTCTTTCTTCACTTTTTGCTGTGTGTAAGTACTTCCTGAACCTGCAAGGAGCGAGCTCTAGCCAGAGTTCACCAGTGGCCAGTTTGTTAGTCATCAGGTACCGTCACTGCAGCTTCAGGGATATTCTGCCCAAGGTGTGGGAAAAGATAGATATTTGAAGTAGCAGGTCTAAAAGCCAGAATTACCTCAATTGCTGAGGGGTATGAAGTTGAACATGATATTGTTTCATCCGAATTCAACATTTATCTTTGAGAATTTTTATTCCTCACAAGGCCTTGAGGTTGCCGCAGCAGTAAGGTAGTACCCAAAATTCTTGTATCTCTTTGAAGCAGAATTGGAGAATTTATCCCTTGTCCAAGTTGAATATATATTTTGCTGCACAACTTAAAACACCTCTTGTTCACCTTCTCCTAAGTCTTCCTGTTTCTCTGATTTTCACCATTTTTCCTGTAACCTAAAATCTTTGTTTTCTACTGGTAGGTAGCTATAGGTCTTCTGCAATAACAGAGTGATCAAATGATGCATGGAAGGATTCATGAGAACCTATGAAGTGTGACCCTCTGGCAGACAACTCTGTCCAGTCCAAGATCATCTACATCTTCATCATTCCTTGACAGAAAACCGTTGAAACTGTTTGGATACTGAATGATGGCTACAGGTACTGTGTTCTAATCCCTTCCAGTTTCACATTTTCTCCTCATATGTAAGCTTGCTACAAGTCAAACTCTTCATTATGTGTCCTGTTGGTATTGTTACAGAAGTTTTAGATCCCTGAAGACTGTTATGGTGCTTTGTTTCAGTCTTTCCTTATGGATCATGATTTCTAAATCTCCCATATGTTTCAAGAGTCCTGCAGACTCTTTCTTTGGTCCACTTTTCCAGTAAGTGTGGCATCCCAAGTTGGACAGAGTGCTCCAGTTAAAACCTCAGCACTGAGTAAAGAGAGTATTATTTAGTGTGTGCAAAAAGGCCATTTATCAAACTTAGTGTCCTTCCTTTTTCATAACACATCATTGACTGCAGTTTGGAGAGCCTGTCACTCCCTATCCTTCTCTGTGTAATTCCTGCCTACTCAGATTTTCTTATTTTATGCCTCTCCAGATGATTATTCTGAAGGGTGCTGTTTTGCACTTCCTGTTGAAAGTCTGGTCTGTGACAGCTTAGGCAGCTGAATTGCAGCAGACAAGTTACTGGAGACTGAACAGAAGGAATGTGAGAAGGAACCATTGAAGATTTTGTACTAAAAGTATTAGGTGATTGTGAATGACTGCCTCTGGGAAATCAGCTTTACCTTCTGGCCAGAAATGTTTCTTCTTCCTAACATTCAGTTTCATTTTTTATTAGTCTGTGTGGGTACAGCCTCCTCTGGGAGGGACAGGGTAGAAATTTGTACCAGTGTTTGCTTTTGCATGCCCAAACACTTCTGTGGTTTGATGGAATACTGTCTTTCCTGCAAAAAATTCTAGAAAACAACTACATCATGCAGAAAACAGGAATGATCATAGATTAAGTCTGCGTGATGTCTCTAATACTATGAGAAGGAATACAAGAAGGTAATTGTACAATCTCTTAGTCTGTCCTGGTTTTGGTTGGGAGATTCCTATAAGACATTAAAATCTTGATTGTTTACTTACATGACAAAAGAGGAAAGAGGCTTTTTTTTTTTGTTTAGAGAAACAAATCACATACTGTTTAAATAAACACTTCCCACACAGTGAAACAAGACAGCTGAAGGCAATGTAAGTCTACTGCTATTTTTTTAATGTTTCAAAATTTTTGTGTCTAATAATATTTTTCTTTTAATTTATTTTGAAGGGCATGCCTACAGTTAGTTAACAGCAAACTGTTCCCTCTTTCAGTTTATAGGAAGTTTATAGAAATTACACACTCTGTGGAGCTACTTTCTCTAACTTTCATTTGGGAGTGTTATCATCTTAACAGAGGACTTGCACACTGTTTTAGAAATTCAACTGTTAGGCTATATATTGACTTAGAAAACATCTCAAAGCCACATGCACTTCATTTGGTATTTTAGTCTGTGTACAGTTCCACAAAACCTCATGTAGGTGTAGGTGACCACACAGAATCTGTGCCAGCCACAGACTGATTGTAATGTGCATATTGCCTCTGACTTATAAACTGTACACCAGTGCAGTGCAAGGGTTAGGGACAAGATAAAATCACTTGCTGCTGTTTTGATTTCCTGAAGGATTGTCATTTTTACACAAGAAATGAGGAGTGCAGTTCCTTTTTTGGGGACCATTCCTGTGCCAAAATTTGAAAATATGTTCTTGTCAACTGTGATGCCATTCATAGCTTTTACATCCGAATCTTAAATTTGGATACAAAGATCTCTGTTGTAGAAGCCCCATCTTGTGGACAACCAATCAATGACTACTTCAGCACAACAGATTTGAAATACTTAGGAAATCTGAAGATATTTTGGTGGTCTTTGCAATAAACAGGAGAGTCTTCATATTTCTGGACAATATGGAAACTTCACTCACAAGTAGAAATCAGCATATGCTTTTTGAAGGCTATTTCCACAGGAACAAAGCATGAATTACAGAGAGGTGAAAAATAGGGATGGAAACAAGGATATTGTCCCCAGAACTCAGTATGATTCAGCTAAAACACTAACAAGCCTGAATCCTGCCTTGAACTCACAGAATTGTGTCCTGTAGTATTTGTGTAGCATAAATGAGCCTTTGGGTAGCAAAATCATATAAAGGCAGAAAGGCATTCTTTGAAAAAAATTGTAGAGAGAGAAAAAAATAGCAAAGCATGAATGAAAGCTGAATCTGGAAACCTTGGAAATATCCTTGAGGAGATAGTTTGTTCCGGCACAAAGTAATGGAAAAGGTCAACCAGCTCCAGACTCAATGAGCCAACATACTTGGTAGGCAGAGTGTTAGGGAGGTAAAAAGAGTGTGAAAACAAGCCTTGTTTTCAAGTTTCAGTATGACATTAAACATCTTTTTGTCACTCTGAAGATACAGTTTTCTGTTTCTTCTATATGAAGAAAACAGGAACCTATATGATAGTTTTCCATTTAGTAATTAGGGCTGTAATGAAGTAGCCAGAAATTGTGGCGACATCTAGGGAAGGGTTGGGAGAAGTGCCTCACTGATGAAACACCTCCAGCTGAAAATGCAACCACTTCTGTGAAGGCAATGTACCCAGGGAATGTTGGTTGGAGTGGCTTACTTGGAAAGGATGAAGAGAGTAAAAAGGATTAAGGCGTTTGAATAGGGTGCTGTACCAGCCCTTTGTTGGGAGGAGAACAAAGGTTGCTATTCCTACAAGTGGATGTCTGACTAAGCATGGGGATCAAAAAGAGACAAAAGTTTGTGATCTGGACATGACAAAGCCAGGAAATAATTTCCTACTTCTTACCAATAATAGTCTGAATTTTGTTACTTAAAATTATCTGTAGAAGTGAATGCACATCTGCCACGTTAGACTTCAAATTTAAAATAACTGTTTACTTCATATTGAAATGAAATACTTAGATTTTCATCCTTCAGTAGTCTGGGAATTTTATAAAGACAACTCTTTTTTAACATATATAGATCAAAAAAAGTCACTACTTAGTCACTGTTAGTCACTGTTCCTAATAAATTAACAGATAAAATTATGAATGCATATTACCAACATATTATTAAAAATTTACAGAAACATCTGTGGATGCTGAGGAGTTTCTGACTGACTCCCTTTGTTTCTCATAGCAATCCAAAGCCTCTTTTGGAATAGAATTCTACATTTTTGGTGAAGGGCATCTTTGAGGAATTGTGTGAGCTAGGGCAAAACCTTTGAGAAAAATGCATATTCCCAGCTTTTACCGCAGTCTGCTCCTTAGGGAAGAGAATATTAGAACTTCTGCAATACAGAGGACTAAAATTTTACCTCAGAGCAAATTCTGGTGGGACCAGCATGTGCAGTCAAAATCAAAATCTTTTTTAGTGTGTAGCCATGAAAGGAGTTTTACATCTCCTTTCCATGGAAGTTGTTTCTTCCTCGAGAGACAGGGAACAGCAGAGGGTAGTTCACCCCTCAAGGGAAGAGCATATGAAGTGGGAACAGCTACTTAGAATTCCCTGCACTTAAATAATGAAGCACAAACAATTCAACTATAGGAGTACAGACAGATATTAGTATGGTGTGAAATCTAGAGGAGAAGCTGTAGCCTGGGAAAAGAAAATGAATATGTAAAGCTTGTAATAAAGTGGTGTTGGAAAGCAAGGATTTATTCCAGTGAGGGAATAATGATTGCTCAGAATCCCTGCTCCACCAAGTGAGTTCCTTGTAGTACAGAGACAGGACAAGCTTTGGTATGAAGGACAAACCAATTGCCTTATTCTGAGCAGAAGGCTCTAGAAAAAGCCAGTGTTAGTAAAGGCAGAAGTCTCTGGAGGAGTATAAGACAAGGGCAAATATTCAGTGATACTTTTTGTAGTGGATTGTATTAGAAATTATAGTTGTTTGTATATGCCTATATGAAGAGGAGACTGATTACATCATGAAGAGTAATCTGTTGTACAGCTAATATGTAGGATAAAATGTTCAGTTGCAGTGTATCATAAAGAGAGGGGTTAATTGCTGAAAGTTGCAGAGTAATATGAATCTCTTGTACTAATAGATTTTATCAAGAAAATACAGCAGGACTGGAAACTCCAAATTTAAGTGTACACCTGCAGTAATCCACTGTCAGAAGAATTGTGTAGGTGTATAAAATTGATTTGAAAGGGAATGAAGAGGTGTGACTTGTGAATTGCTACTTTTTAAAGATAAAAAATTAGTACACAAGTAGGTCATGTTAAAAAAAGAAAGTAACTTTTCATCCTTATCTCCTTATTATGCACATTTTTAAGGTGTTTTCTTTTGTTGCCTCTAGCCTTTCTGCTATTTTAAATATTCTCATATTAAAGTTTTATTGATATAAAAATGTTAAAAGATATAGTAATAATACTGATATATCAAGTCATTTAGCATTAAAAAAGATGAATTTTCAGTGGCCTTTTGAAAACAAGGCTTGATGTGTTATGTAATTACAAAATATATGCAGTTGAACCTTGAGCACTTGTGTTTGTAATGTATGAAAGTCTTCTTTTAAAGCTGTGTCTGCTTTGTGTCCCTTCCTCTTCCAGCCCAGTCCCTTCCTCTGGAGCTGTGGTGTGTTGTAATCCCATTGTATTGGTCACCAGCATAGGATCCACTTCCCCAGGGATGGATCCCTGTCCTTGAGCCTTAACAGATCAGTGAGGTAAGGAGAAGGAAAGGTCCCTGCCATCATCAAAGACAACCCCAGACTCTTCCGAGCCTTGTCCAAAAGCTTCAGTAATTTACAGTTCCTTATGGTAAGACACTTTTTCTGGTATTAACGTCATGAGCATTTTAAAATGTTATCAGGCAATAATTACTATCACAACTTTTAATTCTGTGTTTCTGTTTCAAATTTTCCTCAGTTCAATCAGAACCAAAAGTTAATGCCCGTTGGCTAATTTCCAGTGCATGCCTCCACAGAACAACTGCTGCCTTTAACTGGTGGAGAGATCAAGGCTTGAACTGACAAAAGACATCTGTATTTTGGAAAACAAATTAATGTTTATGTTTTAATTTATAAGTTCCTGGCTCTTTTATGGTTCCTTTTATGGTTTTTCAAGTAATGTCTCTTTGGATCCCTAGCTGATGGAGAGTCAAAATGGAAAAGGCCCATGAGAGAATTATCACAATAGAACATCTGGTCTGCATTGGAAAAAGCTGAGAAAGATATTCAACATCTCTGAGACCAAGAGGCAGCTATGAGGCAGTTTGAAAGTCAGTCTATGAAAAATCGTGCAGGTTGTGGCCACCTGGGCCAATCTAGTGTTGTTCTGGGAAGAGCTACTCTGCTTCCTTGCATCTGAATTTTAATGTCACTTCAGCACGGATATGTGAGAGCTGGGAGTGGTATGAAAGGTGTTTGCTTTTCATAATGTTAATCTGAGTCCCAGCATTGTCCTAATTATATTGTGGGTTTTTGCCAGTCTCCTAAGTTTTCTTTTGAGCATGTAGGCTGGAGTCAAAAGGCTTTCCCAGGGTTTTGGCATAGCTTTATAGGAAAATGGATGGAAATTACTTTGTATATTTTTGGAAGAATATTTTGCATCCTGCTTTAAACTGTTCCAGAAGGTAAAAGGACGTTAGCTAGACTGTGTATTGGCTCGTGTACTGGTGTGTCACTAATGGCAAGGAGTTTTGCTTTACCTAATTGTTCCTGTTTTCTGCAGCCACAGACTATGAGAAATGCAAAGAAATAATGGGCCAACCAGGGCAATAAAGGCACTACTGGATTCAGAGGGAGCAAACTCCTTCCACCACATGAAACTTTCGTCTTTTAAGTCATCATAGCTCATGCAGAACAGAAACAATTTGACATGTATAACAAGAAACACTGCAATTGTTTGCCAAACAAAGACTTATACTGCAGATGGAAGAACTGATGAAAATTGTTTATAGATGGGGAACTTAATGTAGATTTTTCAAGAACAAGGTTGCTCTCTTCCTTGCCAAGACAAACAACAAATCTAATAGAAGTTTTATTTCTTTAGGCTGCCTGAGGACCCACTGGAAAATCTATGGACTTTTCTCCACAGCAAATTTGTCTATCGTCAATACGTAAGTGGATTGTCCACAGTTACACTGTGGCAGCTGCAGAGGAAGTGGAAGGTTCTCAGGAATACATTAGGGAGAACTGGATTTTTGGCTTCTGATATAGTGTGGAGCGCCTTTGGAAACTGTGGAAGTTTATGAGCTGGATGTTACTGCTACAAAAGGTTATCTATGAGTTAAACATAATAGTAATTAATCTGCTATCTTTAGATCCTAACACTAACAACATGATGAAATTGAGAATTCCTATTCTTTAGAATTGCAGTTTTCCAGGATGCCTTCATTCCTATGAAGATGCCCTGATCTGCACTTAGTTATCAGTGTTACCTTTAGCAATCTGTGCACAGATGTTTTTACAAGGCACTATGTAGGCATCCCAAACAACTGGTTTTAATGGGCCAGTTATTTAGGAAAAGCATGTAATGAGAACATAAATACAACCCCTGATACTGACATAAAACATGTATTAGGAGAGTAATATAGTTTGTATTGCCCTGATAGATAGCAGACTCTGGAAATATAAAACTTGTCATGTCATTAAAATTCTGTTATATCTGTAAACATATATGTCTTAGAAAAGAGGGCCCACAGCATCCAGGACTGCTTTAGGAAAAGTATTGCCAGGAGATCAAAGGAGGTGATTATTCTCCTTTACTCAGCACTGGTGAGACTTCAGTGGAAGTGCTGTGCCCAGCTCTGGGCTCCCCACAAGAGGAAGGACATGGACATACTGGAGTGAGGGCAGGAAAGAGCCATGAAGATGATTAAGAGGAGCACCTGTCATGTGGCTGCCTTGAGGGATTTTGAAGTTGAAGATACCCAAAACCCAACTGGGTGAGCTCCTGAGCAGCCTGCTCTGGGTGATTCTGCTTTGTGTTGGACTGTTTTGGACTGGATGATCTCCAGAGGTGCTTCCACACTGTGAATATTTGAAGCACTTTGGTTATGTCTTTTCAGCATTTTAGCTGGAACTCAACTATGTAGGAATCCTAAAGAGAGCAAAGGCTGTGACCCTAGAAATCCATCCAGATGGCCGAGGCCCAGAAAAGGCATAATGAGAGCTGCTAAGTATTTTGAATGTCTCATCAGAGTGATATTTCACTTAAAAATACAAATATAGACATGACTTGGGTCTTAATGACACTGAATACCCATAATGTTCTCTCACTTCAGCTGGACTGCAGATGGTAACAACCTCTCTCTATCTGAGCACACATATTTTAGTTTAATCTTGCTCTGTAGAATCTTATCACGTACTTTACTCTAGAAATTAATATTTGGAGCTTTATGGTGCAGAATTTATTTGTTGATTTGTTCCACAGTTTCTTTCCTTACTAGTACTGATATTAATAAATTAAAATGTATTTTGACATATTCAGTAATAAGCTCATACTATGTCTCAAGGAGTTGAGAATATCATAATTTGAGCAAGGTAAAATCAAAATATGTATTGCATTGCATATTCTATGGCACTTAGTTTGTAACTATTCTTACAGCACCTTCAGAATAAGAACAAAGATTAAATTCAAAAAAGGCTTTTAAAATTTTTAAAACAACAAGATTTATGTGGAAAGGCAAAGATAATGTAAGAAGATTCACCTGTGGTTTTTCATCATGAAAATACCAACAAACTAACTTGCAGTATTGAGAATTCCCAGATCTTCCTCCTTTTGAAAACACTTTGTCTTTCATGTTGCCTCTAAGAATAAAAAGGAAAGCACACTGGAAAACAACAAAATGAGAAATGTTGCACAAGGAATTAGGAGATAAATAGATTATAAAGCATTTTATTTGATTTTGGGTTTGCACTTCAGCAATTGAAACAGTAAGTAAATAACCTGTTTCTTTATCAGTACATGGAGTCACATTGAGACTGACAGACCAAGACATAAATGTATAAATAGCATCTCTGATAATTATTAGAAGATGTCAAATTTTGCTATGGATGAGCCCATCCCAAAACCACAAAATTAAGACTTCAGACAAAAATAACACATGAAGGTCAAATACACTTAGTCATAAGTTGCTGTCTTCTGCCACCACTTTTCCCTGACTTAATGCTTTTACAGCATATCTCCTCTGATTCAGGCTCCTCTGTAGTCTCTGCGTGGGACTGGGGGTTTGGCAGGGACAGTATTACTTTAAATTGACACCTCTAGCAGCAGTTCCTACTTGTACTGTTTTCCTTTTATAAATGTATAACCTATTTCATCTATCAAAGCCTGACTTAGCTCCAAGTCACCCGTTTCTCAGGGAAATTAAATCTAATGTCTAATAAGCATAGAAGCTTATGCAATTTTCATTCCCTGAAAAAAAAAGTATTAAATAACATAATAATATTACCTTGTCTTCTGATAGCTAGAGACTTGTGCACTTTGTTTTTCTGTAGACCAGACTGGTTCTGCATTTGGGCTCAAGGAGGCCAGATTTATCCATCCCTTTTTGCAGGCTTTCTGAATGTCACCTCAAAATTCTCCTCTTGTTAAAGGACCCCCTGAAACTTTCATGTGTAAGGTTTGATCCCTTTCTCCACTTCTCCCTGTGGTAGGAGCCCCCCCTGTTCCCCCACACAAGGGCTGTGTACCCCGTGGTCTTACCCTGGGGATTCTGGCTGCTTTCTTACTCATTCTCTCCCTCACAGGATTTTCTCCAGCCTGACCAAATTTCTGCCTGTTCCATCCCATTTTCTATTAATACCCACCATGGTTCTGTGTCAGTGGGTGCAACATTTGGAAATGCAGAAATCTGCCTCTAAACCGTGTAGATTAGCAACATAATTTCAGGGGTTTGCCTCCTGCATGTGTCAGTTCAATAAGTGGGTTTATAGGGAATAATTTTAAACTGTTGCAGCCCTCCAAAACCGCTTCTTTCGCTTCTGCAATACATAAAATGACATAAGGTCACTGATGCTGGGGAAATTGGTTTCCTGGATGATATACTAATTCAGCAAGAAATCAGTTCTTGCAGAAACCCAAAGAAAATTATTTTAATATAGTGCCATGCTACTTTGTTGACTTTTAGGAAAAAGATAATTAAAATATTCGAGGGAGTTCCAAGTCTCTGGAGAAAATACCATTATGGAGATATAAAGCTATTTTTGCCTCACAGCTTATTAGCTTCTTTCCTAAAAGCAAATCAGCTGAATGTGATGGGCACAAAAATAACATTTACATGTGCTCAAAAAAATAAGAAAGAAGATACTTTTATAAACTGAGTTCAATATAAGAATAGACTTGGTTCAGTCTCTTCTGTGTCACTCACCCTGTGTTTACAGTAACTGCTCCTGCAATTTTCTGGATGAAAACTTCCATCCAGATACATCCAAGGCCATTAATAAGTCTGCACTATGCATCTGATTGCAATGGGGAATAGAATTACATTGATGCTGCCTAAGGAGAAACAGAATCTCTGCACTCAGTGTGAATAAGGAGTAGCCAATGCCTTGTTTTTTCAGAAATAAATAATTAAATTAAATTGAAAACAACAGCCAATCTATAAGAATAATCACTAAGAGTTTGAAAGCCCTGTATTTTTTCCTAACAGTGCACTTATAGTAGGCTATTACTGAGTACAAAAAGTAAAATAACTGTAATATTTACTGTATGGATATCCCAAGGGAAAAAAACTTAGTAGCATAAGCTGTTTCATCTTTTTAGATGTACAGCAGATAGAGTGTTCATAACAGGAACACCCTGTTACCTCAACTGTGAAAGGTTCTGGGAATCTAATGACCAAGAGACTGGAATTTAAATTTATTTTTGTTCGGTTTGTATTTCAGTGAGCATTTGAAAGACCCACCAGTTTATCTTTGTCAGAGATTATTTTTCTTTTGGCTTAGCTTAGACACCAATCTCACTGTTGAGTTTACATTTATGGAGCAGGACCCAAGGTTTTCTCCATGTGTTCAGCATTATGATTCTGACTTTGCAGATCTCATTGCTTGGGATAGTTGCAAAAGTCATGTCTGCTTATACAGCAGCAACGGAACTGGGGTTCACATGCTGCTGGTTAGTCAATTGAGAAGGAACAAAATTAGTTTTGAAGGCTGCCACTTTTCTTGGCTGATGTGCAGAAGAGTTGGTAAAAGCTGCAAAGACAACTGAGTACCCTGATGACAGTATTTATTATACATTTTATTCATAAGTGGATTTTTAGAAATTATTTACTCTGTTATTTTACTCTGCTTTAGCAAATCATGTGTGACTGTAGTTGTTTTTCCACAATGCCTGTTTTAGTTGTTTTCATTGCCATTTGTTCTCACTCCATGTAGTACCGTCCACAAGGTGGTGCCACAGCTAAGAAGTTAGCAATAAATAAGACAAATACAATTTGCTAATTCTACCTGCTTTTTACAACTAACTAAAGTAGCCGCACCTTTAAAGAATTAATAATTATTTCATAAGCATAGTATCACAGGTTTGCAAGTTTTTATTTTAAACCCCTTGTGTGAGCAGAGATGGCTCTGCCGGCTGAGTGAGAGCAGCACCCACAGACCTGTGTCCATCCCAGATCATGTACAAAAATGAAAAGACAGCTCAGGGTTAAGCAGACAGACTGATGAAGAGCTGTGTGTGTTCAGGCAGGGTTATCCATGCTGTGCCCCATGGATGTGTCCTATATATATGTAGATCACTTCAGCAATACCCCAGCAATCAGCCCAAATACTGACAAGCAGAATAGTTCATCTGCAGCTTCAGCTTCCATGCACTTACCCTGGTGTGGCTGTGGCACATCAGACCCTAATTTTCCAAGTTTTTCTACAGCCAAGCTCCCTGTCTTATGATAATGTACAGTTGACTTAATTCCAAAGGGGTATGAAGCGCTTACAGAGGGCCCTGCTGTGAGAGCAGCTGGGTTAATGTATACAGGTAAATTCAGCAGTATTTTTCCTTCAATCATAGTTAAAAAGGCAGCCATCCCAAACTGTGTTTAGCACAAGTGATCAAGTTTATGAGCATCTTTCAACACAAGATCAGACTAGAAAAAGTAAAAGGCAATAACAGGTAACGTAAGATGTGAAATGTACCACCTAGTAGAGAAAAGGCAGTAAAACTTACAGGAAAAATTCGTTTTAATGGATCTGAATGACTGCAGTGTTTTATAGCAGGCCTGTATGTCCCTGAAGAGCTGAAGTGCAGAAGGCCTTGGTCATTTCTCCCTGAATGTGTGTGTCAGTTCTTCAGCTACTCTTGGCCACAAGGCTGTGGTTGCTTCTTGCACACCTGCCCTGCTCCCCTCAGTGCAATACAGGTATGCATGTTAATACAAGATATACCCTCTGTGAGCTTCTCCAGTGGATAAATTAAGTTGTTTATTCATCACATTATTTTGTACCAAAAGCAGGAAGAAAAGGGGATAATTTAAAATACCTTTCAGGCAAACACTGCACTGATTGTTACTTCCAGCTAGAATCTCTCTTTGGTATGGTAGACCTGTATCAGAACAAGAAGAATAACAGTGTTTGCATAATATGTTTCTGCATATTGCTATATTATTATTTTAAAACATACTAAAATTCTAGTGGGTTGTAAGAGGAAAGATGGTTATATATACTCCTGAGTATTTACCATATACTCAGGAAAGATGGTTTGTCCCCCAGTTATAATGCAGAATGAGAGTTAGAGTCCAGTTCTTATTTAGTCCAGTTCTAAAAGTTGTCAAATAACACAACTGACACCTCCTTTTTTTTTTGTTTTGTTTTTTTTTAAGGATCACATCTATAAATTTTATCTTAAAGTGCTTTACAGTATTTTAAAACTTTGTATTACTTTTAACATCTGTTTGGAAAAGTCAGAATCAGAGAACTAACTAAAAATATAAAGTCACTGAACAGGTGAACTAGATTTAATTTCTGAGTCTATCCAGTTAGTTTGGACTAACTGAATCACAACAGAGACATTGTCAGAGTATTCCTGTAAGATTGTTCTGAGTGTATGGCTGCAATGAAAATGACATATTTCTGGTTTAGTTTGGACTTTGTTTTTAGTTTGACTTTGTAAAATTGCTTTCAAAAATGTTTATTTTTCAGATATTTTACATAGAGAAGAAATTATGCTCTATTCTGAAGGGAATGACAGAGCATCTGAGATCATACATTTAAGTCTCTACTTTATATAAACCCCAGGTATGCATTATTTTAGTAATTTAACAACTGAACTGAGATCCAAAACACTTTCCCTTGCAATACTTATAATGATTTTTGCACCCTTTCTGGAAATCCCGTAAATATTTTTAAAATATCAAAACCTGTTTTTCCTCTAAACCTGGTTTTCTGGTTTCCCGTTTAGGCAATCATGAACAAAACATGCTTCAGCTCTGTTGTCTATGCCTAGATCTTACTAGAGGGAGGTAACTTCCAGTACTGTAAGTTCGGAGTCAGCCTGAGCAGGGCTCCGAAATCATCCTGCAGATGCACAGCGTTAACCGGAAACAATTCAGAGTGGCAGTGGTATCCTGCAGGATGTGTGCGACGCCTTCAGCTGTGTGTTGATTTACACGGGGCCACATTATAGATTATACATTCTGGTAATTGTGGTATTGTTATTGCTGGGCTATATCTAAGCACAGGAAACACATATAAGCACATTTGAAGTGATAACATCCACTCCTGTTTAAAGGGCAATATTTTATTCTCATACGTAATACAGCATTTGCAATAATATAGACAATTTCCTAACTGGTACATAGAAGACTTTCAGGAGAAAAACCTGATTCATTGTGGGAGGCCCATAACCAGCATTTACAAAGAAATCCACATCAACTTTTATTCACTTTAATTTTATTTTTTTCAGTATGGACATTATTCCGAGATCAAGAAGGAGACAATACATTGCCATCTGAAAGCACAAGAAAGATCAAAATAAGTTTTCAATGTGTCACCGAAACCACAGTGCTAGGTTTCTGTTAAGGAGAATGAGTAATACCATTCTAGCTGTGAAGAATGCTGTGAGTGGGTAATAATTCCATCTAACTGATAGGGCAGATTTTCTGCAAGAAAATAAATTATCCCAACTAAAATCTTGCCCTATTTCTTCAGCTCAGTAAGAAAGTCCATTCACCATCCCCATTTAGCTGCTTGTCTAACATTAGGATATCCTCCATCCAACATTCCCAACCCAGTCTTGCAATTCAGGAACAGATTGGCTCCAACTCTGGCCTGGACCATAGCTAAATCTATATCCATGCTTGTAATACTGTTGCAGATCAATAATACGATGCTATACTGTATAAATTGGTTTGTTGAAATGATAGTTATGAATGAAGTTCTAAACAGACACTGCAACATATAATAAAGGACTAACCTACTGACAGTTCTAATGGGACTGTGATTAACACATACACAAAATAGCCCAAAGCCCAATGACTTGCTTCATGATTTCATGAAAAACTTTTTATTGTTTTCTATCTGTATTATTTAACATTAAAAATACATTTGTCTTTATAAATTTATATAAATGCTACTGATCTGATATTTTTGTGCTGACAGTCTAACACTGAACAAAAGTATAGTTTTGTCAGACCTCATATGCACAAAAATTGTTGATGCCTTGTAATATGCCTTTGCATTCTGGCAGCCTCTTCATAATATTCTTTTGGAAGTGTCACCTGCTTAGGTAAGCTTTGATTTACAAGAAATTATTAAGAAATGTTTAATTTTAATTATGATCTTTACTATTTACCTGAATAGGAATCTCTGTCCTTAGTTTAAACTTCTAATATCCTGTTTAACAAAGAAACAGCTTCAATCGTACTAAAAGTACTTAATGTTAAGAAAGTTTTCACAGTTGGTTGCTGGGATTAGGGCTTTAAAAACAAAGGTCAGGTGAAGATGCCTTCTTGGAATACACTAGGATACAAGCCTCTATTTTTGTTTGTAGTTCATAAATCTACGTATTACATAAACCAGTAATAACTTTAATATAATTAAATGTATTTGTATTTGTGTGAGTGACTGGAGTTGAACAGCACACCTACATGGCTGCAGCATATGTGAATCTTCCTGCAGTACATTCTGGTGTTGGCTTCCATTAGACAGTAAGAAATGTTGCCTGCAAAAATCTCTCACAACTTGAGACTAATGTCTGTCTTCTTCACATGGGAAATGTATTTCATCACTCCCTCACATGACATCGAATTCAGGTCTGTGGAAATGAAAATACCAGGCTCTGCACACCATAGGATTTGTAATTAGCTTGAGATATCCAGAGAAAATTCTGTAAGTTACTTTATTTTGCCTTGTCTCAAATCTGTCTGATTTTGTTTGAGTTTATGAGTAATTTTTGGTGGAAATGTCTATGTTGCAATTGAAATGCTCTAACAAGTCCTCATCACTAAAATGCACTGAGTTCTGTTACTTCTGAGGAGCCATGTGGAGTCCTGGAGTCCTTGTGGCTGCTGGGGAACTCAGGAGCTTCCTGGTCTCACTTGAGCCATATGACAGAACCCCAAAAACAACTGTGATGTCTTTAGGTCTTAAATATTTGGTTTAAATGTCTAAAAGGTAAGAGTTTCTTAAGCATCCTGAGGCACGAGAGTTAACAGATCAGCCTGAGCCATGCCTCTTGCATTTACTTCTTCAATAAAGTTGTCAGGATGCTGCCCAACCAGGCTGCCAGATGTGCTCTCCACGTTTAGGGTAAGTAATCACTTGGTCCTGGGATCTTCTGCACAAGCTATGCCTGAACCCACTGCAGTTATTTTAGGTGACACACTAAAGTGGTCAGCATAAACTGAGAAGACTTTGTCCAGCACTTTGTCAGCATGCCAGAAGAAATTCCTTGGGATTCAGAGTCTAAGATTTCATTTCAGTTAATTGTCAGGATGATGAATATTATTTATTCCACACTAAGGCTTATTTTAATCCAAAACACAGATAGATAGTGTCAATGCAGGCAAAATGATAGTTCTTCCTGCACAGAAGCCCATCTAGATATAATCCAGTTTGCTCCCCTGTCTCTAAATTTGAAGGACAACAGGAATGGAGACTGCAGCTGGCCTGAGATTCCCTTGCACTTGAACCTGATCTAATTAGGCAAGTCTATTTTTTCACAAAATAAAACCTTTATAGACAACAATATGGTGAACTGAAAACTCCTCAAAGTTGTTAAATTCTGTCTAGTTTGGAAAAGGAGCTGTATCAGGCCGATGCTCAGTGAGGCAATGGAGCCCAGTGGGCAGAGTGCTGGACAGGGATTGAGAAATCTGGGTTCTTTTCCAAAATCTCCTGACTTTTAAATGACCTTGAGCTGTCACTTCTCTGTGCTTTGGATTCACTGCCTGTATGAGTAGGATAATAATGCTCACAATGGTTTCAGAGTTGCTGAAGGAAGGATCTACATGAACACAACACTTCGTGCACTACCCTGAGCTAGATGCAGCTGTGGTTAGAGGTGGCCAGGATTTGGTCAATGCCTCGTGTATTCCAGAAAATCTGGGAAACTTTGATTGTTACACAGCTTGCTTTCAGTTATCGGTCAAAACACATTTTTATGTTAAAGGTCTTTCTTATCTTTCACACCATTACAAAATATCTCCAGAAAATTTCATATTATTTACTTACGCATTAATACTCACAGTTCATATCCCTGTTACTGGGAACTGCAGAGTGCCTCTCAGGATCATACAAATGATAACTTAACATAGATAATGTGGTTTTGACCTAAAAAAGAGAAGTGTTTTGCAATGTTATATTTAACATATCTGGGGGAAAAAAATTATCAGTTTATGTTATAAGGTAATTGAATTGGGCTTTTAGTTTGAAACATTCTCTTTGAAACTAAAAAAAAATTTTTTTTTTAATTGTCATTTTAGATCAATGTCTTGATTTCACACATTTTGGATTAATATACAACTACAAGCTCTGTGCACAAAAAAAGAACAGTCTACTTTCAAAACTGCTGAATGCTTTGACCTCAAGGGCATAGAAACTGTTGACTCATTGTTTTTACTGCATATAATATTAGTCCTTTGTCACATCCAGGGAATGACATCATCTTCTTCATTGTTAGCAGCAGGTTTGAATAACAGAAAAAGTGCAGCATTAGTTGTCTGCTGTGTTTGTTCTTAATAAATGAATGGATATCTGGTACCAAGACTCAGATTAGGATTTTTGAGTAACATTTAGAACAAGCTTGTGCCCAAACCCTGCAAAGAGCTTTGCTTCTGGCCACCATCTGCAGGGCAGTCAAGCTGGCAGGAGCCCGGAGCCTGCAGAGGGAACGTAGCTGATGGTTCTGGCTTCTTGAAAGTGGTAAGAGGAGTCGGGAAAGGAAGAGATTAAGCACAGAATGAAACAGATCTGTTCTTCAAGGTCATTTTAGTAAAAGGAGTCCCTGCACTTCTGTGAATCATACTTCTGTGAAATCTAAAATCATGAAAAGTAATTATCGGAAAATAAGTCATCTCTAGGACATGCAAACAAAATGGGAACTAATTATCTTGAAAATGCACCAGAACAAGTATTTCATCTATTCCAAATTTGTATTCATGTTTATTAGTCTTCTACTCCCTATAACTAAAATGTCTATGTCCTAATCTCAAAGAGTAATTCCCTATCAGAAGTATTTGGTTACTCCTGCCTGCTTCATGGAAGAAGGATACATCATTATGATTACTAACCAGGCTGATGGAGGTCTTCTTTAAGGTCATACACCACCTTCTATAAGGTTCTTCAGAATTTTTTCATGGCAGAGAAAATTTTAAGTGTTGCTTCCTGAACAATAAACATTTCTAGTGGAAAAGAATTTACTCAGGGAGAGAGTCCTCGAGAGTCTGATCAAATATCAAATTCTACCTAATCCATTGCCAATTGCCTTTATGTTTTCCCAGAAAAATGTGATGTCTTTAACTATAAAATTATACCTTTGTGGTTCCAAAAATATTTGTCCTGAAGATAAGTTCCTGTGTTGAGAGAATGAATCAAACTGGACTTTGAAAAGCTAAAATCCATAGAGCTGTGAGAGAAGCACTGAGGCAGCAGGCTGGGAAAGCTGGAGGTCATGGGTTAAGGATCCAGGATTGTTGGATCACAGAGGTCCACATACCAAGAGTAGACGCAGACAAGGGCTACACACAAGGAAATATTTTCTAGAATGCCAGAACTAAAAAAGAATAAACAAGCCATGCTGTAAAAGATCAAAATCAGACCTTGTTGACTTGGAAGCAAGAGGTCTGATGTACTGGCCTCTTCAGAACAGACATAACTGTACTTGTGCAGGTAGGGAGAGCTGCCTTGCACGTAGGCTTGAGCAGATGCATCTATTTCAATTCCTATCCCAAATGTATATTGCAAATTTCAGACTTATCTGTTATGAGAAGTAAGAAATGTTACACTTTTTTTCTACATATTTCATATGCTTTTGCCATATGAAGTCTTTCCTCAGTCTTCTGTTCCAGTCTGTGGGTCACCTTCAATCAACATTTCAAAAAGTCTCAAGTAGCATGAATTTTGGTGAGGCCAAATCACTTGATTTTCCCTTACCCTGTTTAGAAGAGGCTTTACTTGGATAAAAGCAATAGTGCCAGCCATTTCCCTTCATCCTTTAAAATTACTGGCCACCTCTAAAGAACTTGGCCTCTCTTTTATGTCACTTTCTGACAACTCATTTGAGTTGAACAGGTTGCTGTGGCCAAATTAAATGCTTGGGAAATGGACCATACAATTAATTTGCAATAGTAAGTTGTCTCAGCATCATTTCTCTTCCTCTCAAGGGGAATGCTGGCTCAAGCAAAAGAAAAGATTAACGTAATAAAAATATTCTAAAGACATCCTGTTAATTGTCCCAAGCTCAGATGGTATTGTCTATTCTTCTGTTGTGCATAGCCAGCAAACAGTGTAAAATCCAGAATTCCTTCCTACAATGAAAGCAGAGCCTTCAGTGCTACAGGATAATCCCTGCCTTTCTGGAAAGCAGATGAAAATGTGGTGTGGCAGAGCTTTGCTTTGGGTTTCAGAGGTGAGCTCAAATTTGCTCCATTGATGAATATAATAATAGGACTTTTTAATTTAGATACATCAGCAACTTTAACCAAGAGAATAAAGATTTATGGAAAAAAGGAAAATTGCAAACAAAGTAAGAGCAAATTTTGGGAAAAGAAGGAAAATTTTTTCCCTGAATATGCAAAAGAGATTTCCCATGTTTGTTTAGGGACAGAAAACACTCAAGGTTTTAAATTCAGCCAAAATAAAGGCTTTCATTTACAATCACATTTGCAGTGTTGACCTTGAATATCACATTCGGTGACAGCAAATCTCATAGGAAAAGTTAATATATCAAATAAAACTCAGAAATATTCACAAGTGACTGAGTGAAGCAAAGCTGTCAGAAGAGTTAAATGAAAGAAGACTCTGTAATTCTCTCCTTGCTCTAAAATGTCATTTCCTCAAAAAGGACAAAGTCTGATTTTTGCTTATATGAAAATAGTCATAAAATATGTAAGAAAACACAGAATGTTGTTTGCTTCAGTTCCTGTAAACTAATCAGGCTGAATGATGAGTCTTCCTGTAACTCGGAGCACTTTTGAATACTATGCATGAAACTGTGTTCCTCCCCTCATAAACAGCTCGAGCCTTGCCTATGTATCAGTGTAAAAAAATAAGTATTGACTTATTCACAAATTACTTTTTAGGCACTGGATTCCCAGAAATATATTTGTATAACAGCATCTAGAAGCAAATGAATGTGTTAATAACCAGGTTTTCTTTCATTTTATGGCCTTAAAGACACTTTGATCTTCTAAAATTATGTTTGTCTTTTTGAAAAGCGAACTTTTATCTCAGCTCTGGTGCTCGTTTCCTTATCTCTTCTTCTGAAATAAATTTTTGACATGAATTCAGTATGCCCCATTTCATTTTATTTCAGACAGCCAAGTGAGATGTTTCTAAATATTTTATCAAACAGATAGGTTCCCTACAGGATGCTAACTTGTTCTCCTATTTTTACTTTTTTATGTATCTTTCCAAAATGAAATATTTTGGACATGGTACAGTTTGTTCACATGTCAGATATGGATTTTTTAATTCTGTCTTTCTGCAGAACAGTAAGAAGAGAAAATAAATCAGATGTTTTATCTGATTGTACTTTGATCAGGTTTTTCTGTATTCTCAAAAAGAACAGCATGGAGCTTCACTTGCTGCACAAAAAAGCACTTTTAGTTTTGAAAATATTTTAAAACATCTCAGGAAAGCCAGACCCAACACCTAGGTTAGAGTTCTACTCATCTTAAAAAAAGACTCCATTGCTTTACCATGGTCATGTTTGACCATTTAGGATCTCCTGGTATTTATTATCCACTACATGAATTGGGAAAAACTTCTTAGTAGGAGCCAAAATGTGGGCAGAATTTCACCTGCCGTAATATTTGCTATCACTCTCCATGACTGACATGACTGGATAATGAAAAATGGCTGCAATTGTGCTTCTGATACATCTTGATATGTGGCAACCTAGGAAATACTGACACTGTGTGTGACACAGGTGGGAGAGGTTTTCGTGTCTTCACATCAGGGAATTTTGCTGGTTTTGAAGTAAAAATGAAAATTTAAAAATGTTAGTGATTAAGTTCATGGTGGCCATGGAAGTCTAAAGGTTGTGGGAGGGCTTGTGGTTTTTAACAGACAAGGCAGAAAAGGTTTTGGGCAAACAGCAAAGTGGTCTGCCTTCCTTGTGTGATACACTTGCTGTAGGCAGAAGATGTTGCAGATGTGTTCTGGACATTTAAGTAATCCAAGAAAACAGTAGGACTAAAAATCCAAAAGTTTCCAACTCCTTTATTAGCTTCTCAAATTATACTGCAAAGATCCAGAGCCTAGACCTCTGGGAAACCTCTGAGGAAAAGTCTGAGGAAGACATTCTTCAAAATAATTTACCATTTAGTTTCCTTGGTATAGCATAAACTAGATATAGCTGTTCTGGCTCCCTTCAGTCCTTCTATTTATAAAAGGTACCCAATTCCATATAAACCTTTTTGAAACATTTGGGAGACTTCTCAGTACTCCAAGGGAGATGCTGTTCTCAATATTTACGATGTGTACCCAAACTGATTTCTCTCTTTTAGTGTCTCCAGTGCAAAATCATTACATTGTCAGAAATAAACCAAGTCTAACTTGTGGGGGGGAAAGAAACTGGATTCCATCGTGTGTTTCATATTATACCATTATGAAAATGGTATATTAAATTCAAATACTTCAATTGTACCATTAGATGTTGTCATTATGTGGCTTGCTAATTGATAGGTTATTCAAATGAACATTATAATTTTAGACTTCTTAGAAGCATCCATATGAGGAATTTCCAAACATCAGAAGAGTAAACGGGGTGCTAGGAAGGAAAAACATGTACTGAGAATATTTCCTAATGCATGTCACTGAAAAATCATTACATAACTGCCGTGTGCATTCCAGGACTTGGTGCAGGCTATTTTTAATACCCGGTATGAAAGAACTTCCTGCTACTTTTTCTCTTTGAAAGCTGCTTTGTGGTTCATTAGATCGTGTTGTCAGGCCAATTTTTCTGCTATCCTTAAACCTCATTTTTATCTCCTTAAAAAAAAAAAGAAGGTGAAACTGTATAAGATGGAAGAAGGTGCTGAGCATAAAATACCTTTAAGAGTAGGGTATGTTGTGTAAGTGTTGCAGTGGTCCCAGAACTAAGCACTGCCAGCTCAGGCTTAATATTAAACCCCAAAAGAAATCTAAATATGTTAAATACATACACATTTAAGAAAAGCAAAAGAACTTCTATGCCAAGCAACAGCACCTAGCAAGAATTTTGAACTTTCTGTTTATGATATTTTTAAAATTAATTTCATACTGTTCTCCAGTGTTATCACAGGTCACCATTTTGACCATGATTTGTATAACCATGACCATTAACATGAAGCATTTTGCTTAAATGCAACCAAACTTCTTCAAACATGGGCTGTGCAAGACATTTCAGAATATTTTAACTGCACAGAAAGTTTACACCATTAGTGTAGCTTTGCTGTTAAAATCCTGGACAAACAGACTGATAGAGATGAAATGGCTGGGGGGGCACCATTTTCACCTCCTCTGACCTCCTGCAAAACAAAGGCCACGGGACTTCCTGAATTAATTTCTTTTCGAACTAGAACATATCTTTTGGGTAAACATACAGTAGAGTGACAGACAACTCACTAAATCTGCTAGAAGTATTTAGAAGTATTAATTTTATAGACAAAAAAATGTTTGTACTTGCAAATCAACAGACATTTCATTGGATATTAGAAAGTTTCTGTGACTCTCTTAATTCCATCCACAGCAGAGAAATGGGATGACAGTTTTCAATGCCAAATAGCACTGGGTGGTAATTGCTGTAACTCTGGCTGTGAACCTGCTCTGGAAGGCTCTGGCAGGGAGGCAGCAGAGCGTGTCAGTCAGATGACTGACACAGGTAATGCCCTCAGTTGCCCTGCCAGCCGCTCCAACAGCCATCACTGCTGCCATGGAACGGAGGTTTCAACATCTGGAGCAGTTCCTGAGCTGCCTTAGTGTTCAGTTTGGTGTACGAAGGCAAACAGTCAACTCTGAGACATGTGGAGCTCTTCTGGGGGCTGTTAGGTTGTTCTCTCCCTGGGGCTTGTGATGGTAAACTGCACAAACGAGGGTGTGGGAACAAGGGTAGCTGCTCTGCTCCGTGGGTTTAATCCATCAGCGCATGCAGAGCAGAGTCAGGGCATTTAAGAACCCCAAAGCTAACTAAATATTTGGACTTCCCTTTCTGTTGCTTTGATTCTCCCACCGGAAGCAATTCCTTTCCCCCCTTCCCTCTGCTGTCTCTGTAAAGTTTCATCTTCACAGAATACTTTTGGATCATTTATTTCTGCACTTCTGTAGATCTTTCAAGTTTCTGTTGCCAAAGAAACTGGTCCAGCACTCAGTCCCAGTGCTCCCAGTCTCAATCGAGCACACTCCTCCCTCTCCCTCTTCACATCAGAGCAGTCTGGATTTATTTTCCTTTAACTTTTATTTTCAGAGGAAATATCTTCACCCAAAAATGTGAAATCTGACTATATTCTGCTTATTTCAACATAGTTTTTAGTACAAAATTCATTACAGGTCACTTAAAAGTCTTCCACATTTAGGCCTTGTCCAGTGTTTCATAATAACACCTTGTTTTCAGTTGCTTGTCACTGTTTGGGCTGGTATTCTCCAAGCCAAGCATCTGCCTCAGGTTTAATTTTTGGCAGTTGCTAGCTAAACCACTGTAGTAATTCTCAAGAACAAGGTTAAAAAAATATTTTGCCCATATTAAAAAATAATCATCTGGTTGCTTCATTCAGAAGTGTCGGTATCCCCATTACAGTAGGAATTTGAAATGGAACACCATCACTGGTCTAGTTTCACCCATGTACCTTTTAAGCAGCAACTTGGAATTTGGCAGCACCATCGCTGTGGTTTCACAGATGTGCATCCAAATGCAAAAAAGTTATAAGACTCCATAAGTTATAAGACTCCGTAAAATTTCAGTTTGTGCATGATCAGTTAAGAATTGTTCGCTTTTGGCAGCTAAATTTTCCAAAGACCATCCCGTGCTGATGGATCCTGCTGTGTGTTCCTTGGCTGCATGGCCTGCAGGCACCATGAGCTGCTTTTTCGGGGAGCAGCCAGGTATGGTCTGTGCCTGACCACACAGGATTCCTCTGCAGCTTCCCCTCCTCCTTCCCCAAGAGATCACTGCCTCTGAGATCTGGGTGTCCCTTCTGTGTGCTTTTCTCCTGCTGCTGCTGAGGCAGAGAGAAAAGAAGGATGGGTCACAAAGATGGAAGAGTTTGGGAGGAGGCCTGGGACCAGCAGAGGATGGGAGTGAACACAAAGCAAAGAAGAAGGAGATGAAGGCAGTAGATTCCAGGGAGACAACTATTACTGACTAATGCTAGGAATTCTCCTAAGGCATCATATACAGAAATCAGTTGTGGAAGCAGTTCTGCATGGCTAGAGGCAAAAAAGAAGATTATACATATTTACACAAAGAGATTCTGCTAGGCAATGGGAAAGGGTATGGTATATTGGGTAAGGAGGTTAATAAGCATGACAGAGATAGAAATAAAATACCAGAGGAAATAACTAAGAAAAAATAAGAGGGTGCAGATGAAGGAAAAGAAAATAATGTGCAGATGAAGGAAAGGAAACTAGGAGATGAAAATAGAGTATGAAGTGTGTAAGAAAGCAGGAGCCAGGGAATGGAG